AGTGTGTATGTGTGTGTGTGTGTCTTTGTTTTTTTTTTAAAGGAGGGGTGGGGTTGGGGGTTGGGGGAAGGAAATTAATGTGACCAGATGGTCTTACAAAAAGAACCACAAAGGCAAAGTCACTACTAGTATGGTTTGGCTTCTCTGTCTTCATCTTCAAGCACAACCTTTCGATATTCATCTAACTTACAAATCGTACACTTGGTTTAACCTTTTTGAGAGTTCTACTCCCACAAAAATTGATAGGTTTCTTGTCTCTCCTAATTTGGAGATGGTTTACCCAAGAGCCCATTCCTATATCCTACCCCAGCCTATCTTTGACATACCCCTATCCTCCTCAACATAAAAGCTGTAGCAAACAGGCCTAGACCTTTTCAATTCATGCTCATGTGGCTCGAGGACAAAGAACTGCACTTACCAATTCCCAGTGATCTGCTTTCATGGTTTATGATGGGCTGGTTATCGACTATTTAAAAAGTTGCAATTTCTCGCAGACAAATTCAAGCAATGAAAAAGAGAGTAATTCGGTCACGTGATCTGGAAGAAGGAAATGCTGCTAGCTGAAATCAACAGCCTGGATCTTTGTTTGAGGTTGCAAGTACTAGGCAAACGACTGAAAAGATGTGTTTATTTGCGGTCCTGAAGCAGGACGAGATCTCTTGGCTTCATTGGATTAGGATCTCAATGAAGGTTATTGGGATACCATTGTATTTCACAAAATGGCAAATTGCCACAGAAATAACACTATTCCTCATATTAGAGAAAGATATGAACCTTTCAACAAGCCTTCAAAAGTCAAGCAAATCATTAACTTCTTACAGAGAGACTCTATGGGAGATCACTCATTGAGACCCAGACTGCATGATCTCGATCTCAATCTCAAAATTCTCGCGGTATTATCTGTCAATGGGTTACAAACTTAGAATGCCCCATTTCAGAGTCAGAAGTTCTGAAAGCCCCAGCTAAACTAGGCCATGATAAAGCTCCTAGACTCAATGGTTTCTCATAGCCCTTTACCACCGTTTCTGGACAGCCTAGCCCTTAAAGCCATGGCTATATTTGCCAAATTCCGTCCAATAGAAATCATCTACAGAGCATGAACTTCACATTCATTGCCTTATCCCTTAGCTTGAAGGAGCTGGTGGACTGAAAGACTTCAAGCTTATCAACCTCATAAACAACTCCTGCAAGCTATTAGTCAAAGTGCAAGCGTCCTGCCTGCACCACATGCTCAACCAAGTCCTGACCTCACCGCAAGGCATATTTCCAAGGTAGATAAATATTTGATGTCATTCTCACCTGCATCCATGCCAAAGACCTCATTCGTAAGCCAGGCTTAATCTGTGAGCTTGATTTTGTAAAGGCCTATGACCATGCAGACTGGCAGCTCCTAGATCAACCCATGGCCCTGATGGGTTTTGGCCACATATGTTGCTCTTGGATCATGGGATGCATCTACTATGCATATTTCGTGATCCTCATCAATTGAAGTCCACATGACTTCTTCCCCTATGTGCCGAGGAGACCCCTTGGCTCCCTTTCTCTTTTCCGTCGTCGTGGAAATTCAGGCATGCTCAATGGCTTCTCCACCTATAGGACTGGCTCATCCATATGTCACCTATAATACAGAGATGACACCCTTGTCTTCTGCAACCCCACACCATAGCAAGTCGAAATATCTGTGGTTTTTCATTCAGTGTTTCAAATTCGCAACATGGTAAGTCGACCATATGTGGTTGTTCATTCAGTATTTCTAATTTGCAAGAGGGCTTAAAGATAACATGGCTAAAACTAAACTCAGGGATAGGCGTCTCTAAGGGCTCGTTTGGTTCGTGTGAAAACTTGCATCATGAAACTGGTTGCATATGAAACCTATAGTTACACATGTTTGGTTCATGTGTAAAGTCAATGAAAACCTTTTTCAATGGAAATGGTTTTACCACAACAAGGAGGAAATCCGTGAAATGTAATCCCCACCCCACAAGGTGGGGAGTAATTCACTGGGAAACCATTTCACCCACGCGGACGCAGAAAAATTTTCGGCCACAAAAAAAAGACTGAAACAAAAAACCTGCGTCAAACCCTCGCGCTCGCCCCTCTCAAAGCCCTCTTCTCACAAAACCCTCGCCCCTCTTTCAGCCCTGAGAGAAATCCTTACCCCTCTCTCGCAACCCTCTACGTCTTGCTTCTTCCACAATCCTTTGCAAGGATCCATATGCAAGCATTCATCTTCTTCAACAAGGTAAGGAAGTTTCTTTTTTTCCCCCTTTTTTTTTGCTACTTTTTCTTCTTCATAATGTAAAGATTCTTCACCAAACAAGGTAGGGTTTCCCTCATATGAACCCCATACAAAATACCTCATCTTCTTCAACAAGGATATGTCTTTTATTCTTTTAATTTCCCTATTTTTTCCTTCTAGACAGGGCTGTGTTTTTTTAATTACTAATGCAAACATTTTTGTTCTATGATTTTCTCATGGAAATTTGTTTTTTTTTCTTCTTATTTAATTGAGTATAGAAAACAATTTGCTCTGTAGAAAAATGTGGGTATGGATTTTTTTTGTTGTATTCTTTCTGTTTTTTTTTTTAAATTATTTCCTGCTGGTTTTTCTTGCGGGTTTTGTAGCTGGTTTTGTGGTTTTGTCGTATGGGTTGCATAAACAAGCACAATTTTGCTCTGTAGAAATGTGTTACTTTTTGTTTTTTATGTCTTGTTGGTTTTGTTGCTGGTTTTGTTGTATAGGTTGAGCATACAAGGACAATTTTCTTTGAAGAAATTTGTTGCCCTTTTTTTTTATTTCTTTCTGGTTTTTCTTACTGATTATGTTGCTGGTTTTGTGGCCGGTTTTGTTGTTTGGATTGTAGTGCATGCAAGCACAATTTGCTCTGTAGAAATTTGTGGCTTTTTTTTTTTGTTATTTCTTGCTGGTTATGTTACTGGTTTTGTTGTGTTGGTTGTGCTAACAAGCATAATTTGTTCTGTAGAAATATGGGTTGCACATACAAGCGCAATTTGCTCTGTAGAAATTTGTTGTTTTTTTTTCAATTTCTTGCTGGTTTTTAAAAATGTGGGTTTGGCTTATCAAATGCTTCCTAACTATTGTTTTGGTCTCCTCAATATCACACCCAAAAAAAAATTACAGGATTTTTACAATATGTCAAAGAGGCCTCTTAGACTCACAGGGCTGCTCACTGGTGCAACCATTTCCATGGTAATTCCCAACCATTCCTTAAACATTTCAGCCACTTCTCTCATGAACGGACTTCTCACTTCCTCTTTCAACAAGCACACTCTCACCACCTCTGCAATCACATAAACCCTCCTCCTTCATCACATCACCAACCACCTCATCTAACAGCTCCATAGAGCCTTTTAACAATCCCCACCTCTCTAGTGCATCTGCCTTCTGATTTTGCTATGTTTATAGCATTCATTTTTTAATCTCTTTTGCTATGCTGAGTTATTTTGTATCAGGCTATTATTCTTTGGCAATTATGTGGTTTTGAGCTTACAATCTCTTTGTTTTGGGCATATAAACACAATTGAAGGTGAGTTTTTCCATTCATGTTCAAACTCAGCTTACCTATTGAGAAACAAGTGCCTTGAGAAATTTTTGTGCAAACTACCATGACAAACATAAACATTTTTCCCAAGAAAACAGATTATTTCTTTAATGGAACTACTTTCGTACCCATCATTATGTTTAATATAAATTGTGTCTGGAGCTGTATTATACATGAGTGTAGATGCTTTTAACTAGGAATTGGTTTTTACCAATGGTGCTGTTAAATAACAATCTGGGTTGAAATTTTTAGTGTCGTGCTTTTAGAAACCCAAGTTCTATTTGTGCTTTCTTTAGGTTGCTATTACTATGGCTTTGCTTCTGGTTTGAAAAATGCTCGTAGGTGTCTTTATGTTAGGCTCTATGATAGATGTCTAAACTTCCATCTTAATGTGACCTGATTAGTCATGTGCTGGATTTCTTTTATTTTGCAGGAGAGGAAGTTTCTTTGTTTACTTGACACATAAGCAAAATGTGTAAGATTTTATCTAGAAGCATTAATAAGATAGAGACTCGAGGGGTGCCTATAGTGATGGTCTCAGTAGTACTATTACAATCTAAGTTGACATTACTCTCATTTGCATATTTGTGCTAGTCACATACCACGATCGATGAAAGTAGGGTTCCTTTAAAGCCTTGAGGAGAACTCAAATGCTATATTTTGACTTCAAAGTAGGGTTCCTTTAAAATAGTTTGCATCCCAGGGTGTGCATCTTACACTGAACAATGAGGGGCTAATTTGGATCATTTGTAAACCTATGTAATCTTGACAGGATGTTGTTAAGGCTAAGTTCTCCTCAAGGCTTCCCTTACCTTGAATATAATAAACAGATTTTCAGGTCATTAATTAATCATGAAACTAAGTATTTAGATCCATAAATGAGAGTTTGAGAGTTTTTCTCTTTTTAGGGCCTTGATTCAATGTGAGGGTAACCCTGGCTCAGGGTTATCCATGGGGCTATGGGTTATAGGCTACTATTGGTTCACTTGTTTCAAGGGGCATTTCATTTATATGAACCATTTATGTATCACAATGTGCATCGTTTAAATTCAAGGTCCACAACACCATACTGCTGGAGCATTTTTTCTTTGTTGGCCATAACTTGGGTGTGGGAAATGTTTTTAGTTTCTTTGTTCACATAAAAGCACAATTCGCTCTGTAGAAATCTGTTGCTTTTTTTTTTTTTTTAATTTCTTGCTGGTTTTTCTTGTTGGTTATGTTACTGGTTTTGTTGTATTGGTTGCGTATGCAAGCACAATTTGCTATGTAGAAATAAGGGTTGTGCATACAAGCACAATTTGCTCTGTAGAATTTGTTCCTTTTTTTTCAATTTCTTGCTGGTTTTTAGAAATGTGGTTTTTAAGTGAATCAACACAAATCACACATCTGTTGATGCAAAAAACTGTGGTGACAAAAGTCTATTACTTGTTGAGACAGAAGAACAAGATGCCCTTGTGGACCTGCTAATATTTCATTCAAGAAACTCACGAGTCCAAACCAAACTACAGGGGTCTCACGTCCTCTCCACCAACTGGTGGTATCAGTTTCCTTGTTGGGCTCAACAGAGGCTCAGTTGGTGAATAGGCTATGACAAAAAGGAACTTCCCAACGGGAAGCTTTGGGTACCATGACATTACTGTTCTCAATATTAATAAAAAACCGAAGGCAGAGAGAGAGGGCCCAAGAAAAGCCATCGGCAGTTTGGCTGTTGATGGGTCCAAATCTGCTACAAATGGCATGAACCTTTGTATTTCACCTGATACATGTTGTCCAAAAGCACAGCCTGAGGGAGTTGTAAGCCAAGAAGAGGCAACAGGTGCTCTGTGTACCCAATTTTTTAATTGGTTTGCTTCTTTTTGAATCCTTGATTTCCTGCTACGCAAAAAGATGGTATCTGAGTTGTTTGGGATTGTGTGGTGTGTAATTCAAGATTGTTTTTTTATGTACTATTATCTTTGGTTCCATTGATGTTAAACATCAACGACAAGCTGATTAAAATTGAAACTCTGCAGAACTTGAATATCTAGATTTCCAAAAGGTTCTTCTGTGACCTGAAAAAGTAGTCATTCACTTTAAGAGAATGTAAAGCTAACTCTCCATATCAAAGTCTTTTATTCTTTCTTTTAACGTTTTTCTTCTTGATACTGGGTATACTGGGTTCTTGGTATAGGTTCCGAGTGTTTTAATGGAAATCATTTATTTTAATGTTGTTTATGTTTTTATTGAGTCTGCGCATTTTTGGGTTACTGATATTCAATGATAGAAGGTTTTTGGGGGCTAATATTTCTTTATTTTATTTACTTTTTAATTGTGATTTTAGGGGTTTTATTGGGTCTTGGATAGGCTGGAAACAGCAGGGATTGATCGTCAGTAATTCACAAAAAAAAGCTGGTCATGGAGGCTATTATTTTTTTTAATTCTTTTGTGACCCGTGTTTTTTTAATTGGGAACTATTCATTCCTTTGAGTACAGTGTGGAATTATATGGGCTTTGAGTACTGTAGACCCTCTAATCATTGAAGCAAATAAAATTCAATTCCATTATTCTCTGGCCCCAAAACACCATGATTTCTCAGCAATTTTGACATTTTCTGCGAAGAATAATCTGCTCCAAATTTATTATTATTCCATTGTAGTAGTTTACCAAGAATAATAAACTGATCTTTTTAATATTATAAGGTCTACATATAATTGCCGATATTTTTTCATTAATCTTACAAGATAGAGATTTAAATTTATTATTATTCCATTGTAGTAGTTTACCAAGAATAATAAAGTGGTCTTTCTAATATTATAAGGTCTACATATAATTGCTGATATTTTTTCATTAATCTTACAAGATAGAGATTTTAAAAAAAATGCATGGACTAGTTTATCAAGGCTTGATGCTTATATAATTTAATAAAGTGAATCAAACTTACGATCTAAACAATCCATTTTTTTAAAGACAATACAAATTGAATGTTTTAAAAAAACAATTGTAATGGGATTGATGACGATATCAAATCGCTTATATTTGCAATTGAACGGTTAAAAATAGGTATTAATCTAGATTCTAGGAAATAGTTTTCCCTTGAGTTACCAAACTTAAGAAACTGGTTACACAGAAATTCGAGAAACTGGTTACCCATGTGAACCAAACATGAAAAAAAAAATGGATTGGAAACCTATTGCATAGGAAACAGTTTGCCTATGAAAACTGTTTTCTATATGCAAACTGTTACACGCGAAACAAACGAGCCCTAAGACAATCTTCTAGCCAAAAGAAGGGAATGTCGTAGGGATACTATCCAGCAAATACCTATGCCTCCTACTGTGCATAGGCAAGCCGGAAAAGCCCTATGGGATAGACTAGCAGAGAGATTCTAACACACATTAGCAGTCTGGAAACGGAATTTTTGTCCCTCAGTGATGGATGGGATAGACTAGCAGAGAGATTCTAACATAGATTAGCGGCCTGTAGACGGAATTTTTGTTCCTCAGTGACCGTATCATCTTGATCAAGTCCAACAGTCCAATATCCCCATCTTTCAGATGTCTACTTTTACAATCCTTGAATCAATTGAACGTAAGTAAGAACGCATGGTGAGATGTTTCTTATGGAGTTGCACTTGTGACTCCCATAAATGCTATCTAATGAAATGTAACACAGTTTGTCTATCCAAGTCCTAGGGTGGATCAGAACAGATAGGGAATGCAACAGTCTGTTAATATGGGCGAATGGCTATGGTGCTACAACATAGAAAACGATCACCTACAGAAAATGGTGATTCAACACAGATATCTCTGAAGTTGCTTGTGTGCTACCCAGAGGGAGAGCTAGTACTCGAGCCCTTGAAAGCTAACAATACTAGTTTCTTGGCTTCCTCAAACAATATTTGACATGGAACAAAAATGAGAAGCATGTATGTTTTCTGAAGGACCTTTGGTTAGATTCCTGACCGTTGGAGCTAGACTTCCGAATAGCTTCCGATAAGGAAGTGACTCTCTCATGTTACCATGAGCAACTAAGAGGCCAGACCATATGGACACCTAGTTACTTTAGGTAATCGCGTTGCGAGACAAATGTCCTGGTGGACAACTTAGCCAAAGAGAGGACATCCAGATCAGGTCTCTGCACTTTCATAGCTTTCTCCAAAGGAAACATTTTACACACGCTAACCTTTTTGTATGCAAAATTACACTACCACCATTTTGTAAAACACAAACACGGAAAAATCAACATCTTTACCCAAACTACATTCAAATTTGAGTTGCCTTCACCCTTCCCATTTGCCCCTTCAAGCAGACACCCTTCGCTTTCAATTGCAATTAGTTTTATGTTTTTTATTCTATCTTTATTTATTTGACATGCTCCACACTTCCAGGTATGTGAGAGAAAACATGTTTTTAGTATTTGTCTTTACAGAAACAATCACAAGGTTTAACTGTCAAAAAGAATAATGATTGCATAGGTTGATGGTCCATGACACAATTTGGGTCCATCACGCTGCGCACCAGTGGTGTAGTGGTCAGGGTTATCACAACCATCAAATGGCTATCAAAAAATTTGGACCGCAATGATATTATATCGATCCCCATCGTTTTTCATAAACTAAAATCTAAAATCATTTGATATATATATTTTTGCAGATCGCATTCTGAATGGAATGACAACCCTGAGAAAATGGCTCAGGCTAATCGCAGGCTATATCGAAAGCAAAGGTGGTGCTCGATTAGCCTTTCTGCTGTATATTCCTTGCTTCTTTCCTCACGTCTTCATGTTGCTCCTCGTCTCTCTCTCTCTGTTGGTTCTATAATTAATATTCTCTCTCTAGGCCAACAGCTTCCTGTGATTGCTGCAGGTTTGAAGTGTTGCAGTAGTAGGAGTAGGAGTGCTCGATGTAATCTTAGTGAGTTCATATTTCTTTAATTTTCAAATTCAATTGGTTTTCTTGTTGTTGAAAGACAAGCTCTTCTAAATCTGAGATGACCACGGGCCTGTTGATGGTGTATATCTATATTTTGGGATGGGAAATATATGAAGTTCTAAATTTGGTTTTATTTTCGATCAGTGGTTTCAGAATATGATTTAAGAGGTTAGCCAATGCAAGAAAAGAGAAGCCATGAAGCTTCTCTAAATGCATTTTGCATTAAGGTGGTCATTGGTTCATGGTTTTCAGTTCATAAGAGGATTATCAATCCCTTTCAATGTGTTATTAGTTTTTTTCTTTAATTTTCATTTTGGATGTATTGATATTGTGGCTGTCTTCTGCTTCACTTTTTTTGAGAGTCCATATTTTGCTTCCCTTCTCTGATTTTGGCTGATTGTATTCTCTCCCTCACACACACTCTCAAATTGCGCAAAAAGCCCATGAATTTTCGCTATTTAAAAAACCGGCGTAAAGATTTCGAAATGGAGAAATGGGGAGCTGCACTTGGCTAAAACCACAGAGAATGTGATTAAATCAAGTAATGAAACATACCAATGAAAATGCTCAATTGAATGACTGCAGGAAATAAGGGCTTCAAATTAATGTTCACATTGCCGAAACTTAACTCCACTTATGCAAATTGGCTTCAAAATAAGGGCAAAGCTTATGCACGCAGGATCAAAGTGTATATTTACTCTCTTGGTTAAAAGACATACATGGGAGGATTTTTGCCAGTCCTATATTTTGGTGACCACCTAAAAATCATTAGATGATTATTCTCAAAAGTAAATATATAAATTAAAATTTGATTTTTCGAACAAATTGTTAGACATTATTTTTTCCTAGTGTACAGAGGATGCCATTAAGATTTTCTTTTTTTTGAAAGTTAACGTATACATTTTCTTTTATTGAAAATTAATCTATAGTGATGCTACATCCTAAAGTTAATCCTAAATGGGGTTTTACCTGGTGGGGTAAATAGATAGTACACTCCGGCGGGCATATAATATCTTTTGGCTTTTTAATTTCTTTTGAGTTATAGCAGCTTTTGTTAAAGATGTTTCAAGTGCACTACACGTCCAACCTGATAAAAAAGCAGGGAAAAGTAAAAAGAAAAAAAAGGAAAAAAAGAAAAAAAAAGTAAAAGAAAAACAAAGACAAAAGCAGGGTTCAACAATAAAGACATGACACGAGCCGTCTTTTTCGGAATGACATGAACACCCCTTCTTTTATTACACTTATGCGCCTACCATGTTATAACATATTTTTCACTTCCCTTGAGAAAGCAAACGAAAAGTCCCTAGAGTTTGTGCACCTTTGGCTCGTATATGAGAAAACATTTAGGCAAATATAAATGGAAAATAATTTATTTTATAAATTTTTTTTTATATATTTAAGGAATTTAAAGATACTCTTATTTTTTTGTATTTTATTCTCATTTCCCACTTTTGAGAGTTTGTATTTAAATTTTGTTATATTTTAAACATAAAATTGAGTTCAGAATTTGAGCCTCCATGCTGTTTGTTATTATGCACCACCCACAAAAGATAATAATTTGAAATGAATAAAATGACTAAAATACTTGTAAACTTCGTACATGTATTTTAGTTATTTTATTTTTATTAAATTACTTTTTTGTATGTTTCTTAATGTCTCATGGTAGAAGCATGAATACTTAAAGTTTGAGTTTAACCAAATTTTTAGATAATATAGATTAAAAGATTATAAAGTGAGAATTAAATATAAAATATAAAATATTATTAGAGATATTTCTAAAGCTCCACAATGTGTAGATGACCTTTATGATTTATTTTATTATATTATTGGAATTGTATATCATGACACCATTTATTTTTTGTACAAAAAATTCATAATCATTTTTAACTATTGAATATGAAATCTAATAGATGAAAGTGTGTCACAGCATTCAAAAAATTCATTTTGAATTTTGTGTCAAAACAATAGCACATCATGAACCACCTATTTTCTAATCTAATAGTCAATAATGATGGTGATATCTTTGTATCAAAAAGAAATGACATTATAATATACATTCCATTGCTCTTTCTTATATTATACACTAGTTATTCATACCACCCTCAGAGATGGGAAAGTTTTTGTCAATATGATAATGTTCAGAGGGTATGTTAGTCTTATTACAAAGAATATTATAAAGTACTTTCAATCGATGCCCGCTTATGTTCGAAAATGTTGGGGTTGTACACCATGAATTTATCATAGCAGCAACCTTTCTTGATATTCCAAAGTAATTCCTTCAATTTTTTTAATTTTTTTTTGAAAAAGGGACGGTTTTTTGGGTCTTTGTAGTTTGTAGAAAATACAAGATTAAAAATTT